GACGAGGGGGAGGAAGGTTTGGTGGCAGCAACTTCGGCGGAGGCCGCAGGAGTGGCGGTTACGGCAGCGACGACAAGAGCTACGGACGCGGTCGCGGCCGATTCGACGGCGAGTGTCACTATTGCCACAAGAGCGGACACATGTGGCGCGACTGCTACAAACTCCCTGATGGTTGGACCCCTGCTCAAGGCCAAGAGGGTAGAGGAGCAGGAGGAGGGAGAGGACGAGGCCGTGGAGGCCGTGGCGGTCGCGGTGGCGGAGCTGCAAACATGAAGAGCGGAGACAACGACAAGGACCCGAGCGACGATCGATACCCGGGTCTATTCTACTTCGTGTCGACGCAAGTACCGGCTCGTCCAGAGAAGGATGAAGGCTTTGAGAAGCCAGCAGCTGTGGGGAAGGTGACCCTACACCCCCTGGACTATTGGGTGATTGATAGTGGCGCTACCTATAGCATGACACCTCGCCCGGACTTGCTCACCGAACTCGAGCCGTCACCGGTGAAGCATGTCACATCGGCTTTGGGGCAGCGAGCAGAGGTGAAAGGCATGGGCAAGGCCATGTTCAAGGGTGCTGATGGGAAGATGGTGGGCCTCAAGAACGTGCTTTGGGTGCCCAGCCTTGCTGCAAACCTGATTTCCGTGCGACGGTTGGCAAAGGCCGGCATGGACACGAACTCGAAGGGAGCCAAGACCTACACCGCAAGGCTTGGCGATCGAATTCTTTGGGACCTTCATGAGGACAGGGATGTCTACAACGAGATGTGGCAGATTACAGTGGTCCCTATGCCTAAGGAGAGGCAAGTGGCAGCAAGCATCAGCACCAAGGATGGAGCGGTCGGTAGCGACGATGGCGCGAACGGTCGCGCTAAGGAGAATGAGCTCAAGAAGAGCAAACCTGGAGGGACCAGCAAGTTCAGTGAACCTAAGGAGAGTGGTGCAGCAACCAAGGAGCAGCAAAAGGGTGAGGAGAACCCAGAGGCAGCAGCGGAGGAGGACTACGGAGAGAGTATGTGGGGCGCTATTGCGAGCGCGGCATTCTCCAATCCAACTTCGGCTACGGGGGAGTGTGATTGGCTCACCTTGCATCGGCGCATGGGGCATGTGGCCCTGCCCATCTTGCAGCAGCTAGTGAAGAATGAGATGGTTGCTGGCATACGTGTGAAGGGGGAGCCCGATGAGGTGCTTGGCTGCCCGACGTGCATTCAAGCCAAGTTCACCCGGTTTCCGTTCCCTAGTTCGGAGGCAACGGCAAAGGCACCGCTTGATGAGGTGGTGATGGACGTGGTGGGCCCCCTGAAGCTTGGAGCTGCTGGAGCTGAGTATTTTCTCACCATTGTCGACGTCTACACCCGCATGACTTGGGTGTACGTGCTGGCCAAGAAGAGCGACGTGGCTGAAACGTTGAAGACGGATTGGTTCCCGATGGTGGAGCGGCAACAAGACCGTCTAGTCAAGTCAATCCGCACCGATCGAGGGGGAGAGTTCCTGAGCAAGGAGTTTGGGTTGTGGCTGAAGAAGAATGGTATTCGGCACTCCCTCACCATGCCATACTCCCCTGCAATGAACGGCATCGCCGAGCGAGCGAACCGCACAATCACGGAGGCGGCACGCGGGTTGCTCATTGAAGCCGGGCTACCCGACTATTTCTGGCCTGATGCGGTGCGGAGCGCGTGTGTGGCCAAGAACAGAGCCTTGACTCATGTGGGAGCAGACAAATGGGTGCCCTATGTGGAGTGGCTAGGAAGGAAGCCAAAGGTGGATATGCTTCGGGTGTTCGGGTGCATGTGCATGGCGCTCGTGCCTAAGCATCTTCGGCACAACAAGCTTGGTGCCAAGGCGGTGTGGGCCGTGCACTTGGGCATGGCTCAAAACAGCAAGGGATGGCTTCTTTGGGACCCATTCACCAAGAATTTCTTGGTGAGCAGGGACTGCAAGTTCATGGAGAACTTCATGTACAAGGATTGGAAGGCGGAGAATGAGGCGAAGATAGGCGTGCGGTTTGGGGAGGTGAAGAGTTCCGGTTTGGAGCATGTGGAGCTGCCTTTGGAGCTGAGCAGCGGCAGCACAACCACAAGGCAATCCTCCCTTGTGAATGGGGGAGAGGAGGCCAATGATGCAGAGGAAGAAGAGGAGGAGGTGCAGCAAGTGAGCGAGCGTGCACCGTCACTCCCTTCCCGTACTACGAGTGCTCCACGGATTCGAGCCACACCGCAGCAACGCCAAGGCCTTCAAGTCCCTGCAGCTGAGGAGGAAGGAAGGGGGAAGAGGAGAGTTCAACCCCCTAATAGGCTGACCTATGATACGCCGGGAAAGCAGGGCAAGACAGCCCTGGCCGGAGCGGCAATGATGGTCGGAGACGACGAGGAGAGTGACTACGAGGAGTGTGCCTTCGCGTTCTTCTCTCCGGTGGAGATGCCGGGAGAACCAGCAACTCTGAAGGAGGCTTTGGAGAGTAGTGATGCTGAGGAGTGGAAGAAGGCCATGGAGAGTGAGCTGAAGAGCATCGAGGAGAATGACACGTTTGAATTGGTGGAGCTACCGGAGGGGCGTACGGCGATAACGTCCAAGTGGCTCTTCAAAATCAAGTCGGATGCCGACGGCAAGATCGAGCGCTACAAGTCTAGGCTTGTAGCCAAGGGGTACCAGCAGAAGGAGAAGGTGGACTTCAAGGAGCTGTTTGCCCCTGTGGTGAAGCCGACGACGCTGCGAACCCTATTCGCGGGAGCCGCCATCAAAGGATGGGTAGTAAAGCAAATGGACATCGTAACGGCATTCCTTAACGGCATCCTTGAGGAGGAGATTTTTATGGCGCAGCCAGAGGGGTTTGATGATGGTAGTGGCAGAGTGTGGAAGCTGAAGAAGGCCCTCTATGGGCTGAAGTAGGCCCCTAGGCAATGGTACATGAAGCTGCGCGAAGTGTTGGAGGGGATCGGCTTCACTCCCTCAACGGCCGATCACTCCTTGTTCATGCTTGGCGAGGGGGAGCAGAGGAGTTTCATGGTGGTTTATGTGGATGACATCCTCATTTTCTCACCCTCTTCTGACCTTGTGAAGGAGGTGATGCTGAAGCTTCAAGACAAGTTCAAGTGCAAGGCCCTTGGTGACGTGAGCTTCTACCTTGGGCTCCACATCGAACGAGATGTGGAGAAGCGGTGCATGCGGGTGCATCAACGAAAGTACCTGGAGGCATTGGCTGCCAACTTTGGGCAGAGTGAAGGCCATGTGGCTACACCCTTCCCCTCTGGGTTCAAGTGTGTGAAGGGACCAGAGGAGGAGAGCGTTGGTGAAGAGGAGAGGCGCCGATTTCACTCGTTGGTGGGCAGCCTCATGTATGCGGCGGTAAACACCCGACCGGACGTCGCGTTTGCTACCGGGCAGCTGGCTAGGGTTGTGCAATGCCCTAATGAGGAGCAGGTAGCAGCTGGAATGAGGGTGGCCAAGTATCTTGGCCAAACACCGACCGTTGGGCTGCAATACTCGGCGGCGGCACAAAGGCGCCAAAAGGGCGCGGATGGTGTTGAACCCGGGCGTTTGTTCCTCACCGCCTACTCGGATGCTTCATATGCATCAGAACCAGAGGACATGACAAGTGTGGGAGGCTTCATATGCTGTGTTGGTGGAGGCCCAACTGCTTGGGAGAGCAAGAAGCAGGTTGACCAAGCTTTGAGCTCGGTGGAGTCCGAGTACATGGCACTCTTCCGTGCCGTACGGGAGATTGTGTGGCAGCGGCGTTTGTTGGCTGAATTGGGGGAGGAGCAGCAAGGACCTACCCCACTGTACTGTGACAGCCAGGGTGCCATTGCTCTTGCTAAGAACCCTGTGTTGCATGGACTCACGAAGCACATGAGGGTGAAGTGGCATTGGACGAGGAGCATGGTAACCGCGGGTGAAGTTGAGTTGCGCTACGTGAAGACCACGGGGCAGCCGGCTGACATGATGACCAAGAGGCTGGTGGAGCAGCAGCATTGGAAGTGTTGCAAGCTGGCTGGGATGGCTCTGAACTGAGAGAGCAACATATCCTAAGGCCAACAATCCGAGGGGGAGTTTGTTGGTGCAACCCTACGGTTTGCACTCGGCTTGTTGTCCGTGTGCGTGAATGTGTGTGTGTATGGAATGGTATGAGGGCATGGGATAATATATATTTCATGCTTATAATTGTGTGTGAATGTTGAGTCATGATGTCGAGTGTGTGTGTCGAGTCAATAGCGAGTTATCGCTAGACGCGTGTTACGCGGTCGTTTGTGTCTCGCGCGCGGTTTCTATTTTGTCGTGCGCGGTTTCTATTTTGTCCTGTGTCGAACGTTCGGCGTGTCGCAGGTGTGTGCAGCAGACCCATCAAGAACTCAAGGATGAGTTTGTGATGAAGAGCCCGAGCCTTGGTGTCAAGCCTCAAGTGATTTCGAAGCTCGCCAAAAGGGGTACACCTCAAGATATTGAAGATAGTTACATTACTTTGTGTAGTGTAACATTTCACTTGGTGTAGGCCCTAGTGAAGGGTAGTTTCGAGACCCTTCGTGGTTGGGGACAGTGTGGCACTGTTCCACATCACTGTACCTCGGCTCTTGGGGTTTGTAGGAGCTGGGAGTCATTCCCAACTCGTAACTCTTCCTATCTTGTGTTTTAAGACTATAGTGGCTGCCATAGTACCGTTCGTTCAAACCGACGCTGTGTCGTCAATTCTTTATCAAATCGTGCAATCTAAATTGCTAATTGTAGACGACGTGAAGACGCTCCAGATCCAATTTGAATCAAGTCATTTGCAACTGTGAGCAGAACGCTATCAACGTTTGAAGCCGCTGTGCAGAAATCCGTGTGTGCTCTCTATCTTTCGTTTTAGGCACATTCAAGTCTATTGTGACTATAACAATCTGAGGGCCTGGCTGAGCAGCAGCGGGTGTATGCATGGTCATTCCTTATGGCGCAAACAGCGCAGTGGTGAAGGAGCCACTATCCACACACCTCAGCCTCAGACCTGCAATACATCTGTACCCTCAATGCTCAAACACCACTCTTCTTGCTCATTGCGGCCCCCCTTTCACTACTTGGTCCAGCAGTATCCCCTTCCCCTCCTGCCGATGAGAGAGAAAAGACGCCGGGCCCGTCAAGGGCCATGAAGACACAGGCGGAGCGCGTCGCGGGCACGGCATGGCTGTGCTTGCCCTCGTACGTGGTCACCACCTCCCTGGGGTCGTCCTCACACCGCTCCACGTGCTTCCTCACTATGCACCCCGGATGCGTGCACTTGTAGTAGCTCCTGCACCGCCAAACACAGCGTGTGAGAGTGTGTGCATGTGTGTGTGTGTGTGTGTGTGTGTGTGTGTGTGTGTGTGTGCATGTGTGTGTGTGTATGTGTGTGTGTGTGTGTGTGTGTGTGTGCGTGTGCATGTGTGTTTGTGTGTGTGTGTGTGCGTGTGTGTGTGTGTGTGTGTGTGCATGTGTGCTTGTGTGTGTAAAGAGAGAGAGAGAGAGAGAGAGAGAGAGAGAGAGAGAGAGAGAGAGGGAGGGAGGGAGGGAGGGAGGGGGGGAGGAAGGTGGAGGGAGAGAGGAGGGGGTGAAAAAGAGCAAGGCAAGCCAAGGATGAGCAGCTGCCAAAGAGTGTGTCATGCAAGCAAGAGAAGGGCTGTTCAAGAAGTCCCACTGCTATCAGAACTGTCACTCCCACTCCGTCCCCCCGTCCGTGCACCACCCCACCCCCCTGCGGCTGGCGCACCTGGGGAAGCGGCGGCCGTGCACGAGTTTCTGGCCGTACTTGCGCCAGCGGTACCCGTCGTCCAGCAGCTCCACCGCACTCACCGCGCGCACCACCACCTTGGGCCCGCGCTGCACACGCTGCCCACAAAACGGCTCCGGCCGCCTGTGGGGCGCAGGGGGAAGAGAGGAATCGCCAGTGGGGCAAGCAAGCATAGCAAGTGGTGGGAGGGCGTGCGAGGGGCCAAGACACAGCGCAGCACATGGGGTGTGCAGCGCCATGCATGGCAAGGCTGTGAGCATGGCTCTCATGTGCAGCCTGGGTGCCACCACCTGCTGCTGCACCAGCAGCATCTCCTGCCGGACCTGCCCATACTACCACAGGGGCTGTCTCCTTCACTCACCCGTGCCCACGCTGCTCTTGCTTGTCTTACCTGCCCCCTTGTATGCTCCGCCCTCCTCCTGTCTACCACGCGCGTTGAGCCGCACTTGTTCTGTAGCGTTCCGCTCCCTTGTCCTAAACCTAGTCAAGGAGTAGCGTTGAAAAGCAGCTATCAAAAGGAAGTGTGCAACGGAAGCCAAAGCAGGGCGCCAACTCGGCAATAAAGCAGCTTTCCCTGTCTACTCAGCGGGGTGGAAGGCAGGGCGCTTGGCACCCACAGCAGATTTATTTGACACCGACTGCTACTTGGCACTGACTGGGGCTCCCTTCATTCCCACTCCCTCCATGGCACATCTTCAAGCACATTCGAGCACGCGGCTGAGCCGCATCCATACAAGTGCTGCTCGACACACAGACGAAGCGAGCAGCGAATGGGTCTTACACCGAGCGAGAAGGGACAGGAAGGGAAGGCAGCGACATGGCAGCGCTTGCCCGGCATACCTCTTGCGCTGCTCCTTGCTGGTGGCCTCGCCCTCCGCCTTCCTCCCCACACCCGCGTCGCCCTCGCCGCCCTCAAAGCTGCTCCTCGACCGCGATGCCTCCTCACTCTGCCCCACCCTCCCCTCCTTCTCCCACGCACTCGCCTCTCTCCCTCTCTCAATCTCCTCTCCTCTCCTCTCCTCCTCGCCTCTGCCCTGCCCCACACCCTCCGCCGCTGCGCCTGTGTCCGCGTGGGCAGCACAGCCATGGGCCAAGTCCCCCTCCCTCTGCACGCCACTGCCACTGCTCCACTCCCCACCCATGCCCACGCTGCCAGCGCTACCAGCGGCAGGGGGCAGTGGAGGGGCATGGCAGTGGCGGCCGTGGTACTGGCAGTGTGTAGCGTGGCCGTGTGCTGCCAGCGCCACGCGCTTCTTAGCGGGGCACCCGGGTGCCGTGCACTGGTAGTAGCTGCACGCCCCCCTCTCCCCACGCGCCTCCGTCTGCCCGTACTTGTGCCAGCTGTACCCGTCCACTGCCCCGCCTGCTGCCGCTGCTCCTGCACCCACCGCCTCTGTCTCTCCTCCCCCATCCGTCCAGCCCTCTTCCATATCCTCTTTCCCACTCGCCTCCTCCTCACCCTCCACTTCCCACCCCGCCCCATCCTTCCCATGCGCATGTCCAGCCTGCGCCCTCGCGCCCTCCTCCCCATGCGCCCTGTTGTGCAGCACCCAGCTGTGCATCTCGCTGCCTGCCATCCCCTGCACTGCCTGTGGCAAATCCCCGTTGCCTTGCCACTGTGCCACTCTCTGTCGCAGCAAGGCCTCGCCCCCTACCGCTGCTCCAGGTCGCGCCTCTGTCTGTGCCTCCCCATGTGCGCCTGCATGCACTGCCACGTCGTCATCTGCCACCCCCCCTGTGGCGCCCTGCTGCGCGCCGCCATCCCCCCCCCCAATGGCACTGCCGGCAGCAGCGTGAGAGGTGTCGGAGCAAGGCAGCATGCGGGCGGCATGGGTGTGGGGGTACGCGGCAGTGAGGGCCATGTGGTGTGGCCGTGCACCTGCCACCGCCACATGGCCGCCCACTACGGCCTCCACTCCCACTGCTTCCCTCGCTCGCCCTGCACCCATCCGCTCCCCCTCCCCCATATGCGCCCACCCTCCCTCCGCACCCCCACCTAGCCCCAGTGCCAAGACTGCCTGCACGCCCTCCCCCTGCCCGTCACCCATGCCCTCGTTCTCCTGCCCCATCGTCCCACCCCTCTTCCCTCCTCTCTCACTCCATGTCACTCCCCCCTCATCCCCGCCCTCCATCCGCTGCCGCTTCCTCCGCCCCCCATGCTCCCCCTCCCCCTCCTCCGCCCCCCCCATGCGCTCTTTCAAATCCCCACCTCCCCCTGCCTGCGCCCCCATGCCCCCTTCCAGCCGGGGCGCTGTGCTGGCAGGGGGCTGGGGACACGGAGGCACGCACAGAATGGTGGAGGATGAGGGATGGGGGATTGGGATGCGGGATGGGGGGGTGCAAGGGGAAATGGCAGGAAGGGAAGAGGGTGGGGAAGGGCATTGGTGAGGAGGGTGGCGGGTGTGACGTGGGGGACATGAGGCGACACAGGGCGAGCACGGAGAGCAGAGCCACCGCCAACAGCTACCGCCACACACACATGCATGCACAGCGCCCACCACACTCTCCCTCTCCCCATCTCCCCCTCTACCCTCTCCCCGTCCCCCTCTCCCCCGTGCGCCGCTCACCTGGGAGCGGGGCACCACGGGCGAGTCCAGCAGGGCGGCGGGGCTGAGTCCTCCCGCGATCAGGAAGCACACGGGCCCCGACGCCGGTGCGCCCGTCACCAGCCGCGTGGGCACGCTCGCCATGCCGCGCGCGCTGCCCCCTTCCGCGCCTCCCTCGCAGCCATCGCTGCCATCTCCCCCCGCAGCAGCAGCGCGTGCCGCCAGTCGCTGTGCGAAGCTCTTCGACCCGCTGGGGGCCCGGCGCTTGGCGCACGCAGCGGGCGGCATTGAGGCGATCCGCGGCGGCGCAGGAGGGCGCGCGAAGGGGTTGGCGGCGGCGATGGCGGCGTCGCCGAATGGCTGCCTGCTGTCCGCCACTTGCGGCGGTACGAGTCCCCCCGCATGCTGAAGTGGCGTGGTGCCCTCCCCGTGCGCGCCCCACCCCCACGGCATGTGCACCTCGGAGCCATCATCGTCGCCCGCTCCCCGTGCCTCGCGCTCCATCATCGCCTCCCGTTCCCTCTCCACTGTCGCCCCTCGCTCCCACACACCACCCGCGATGCACGCCGCGTCGTCCGCTGCGCTGTACCGCGCCTCGCCGCCCTTCACGTGCGCCCCTCGGGCCACCGAAGAGCACGCGGCGAGCGCGGACACGCCCTCCGCGTCGCAGGGGTCGGCGGACGCCACTGATGCCGTCTGCGCTGAGGCGCGCGCATTGTCACCCGCGGGTGGAGCATTTGCCGTGGCCTCCGCAAGCAATGCGCGCAACCGCTCGCGAGACCCGGTGGGGAAGGCGGAGGATGGGAGAGGCGGCAATGCTGGCGGGGCTGGGGAGGGGTCGCCCGCCAGGGTCAGGGGCGCGTTGACCGGTGGCCGCATGCTCCCCGCTGCGTTGCGACGGGCGACCTCGATGACAGTCGATAGACGAGAGGCAGCGACTGTGGAAGAAAGTGAGTGGGCGCAAGTATATTTAGCAGGGAGAGAGCGAGAAGAGCGGGTATGAATGGGACGGCACAGCATGGAGGGTGGTGAAACGACACCTGCGCGGCAGGTTGGTGGGAATCGTGTAGCGACAGCATGAGGGGCCTGTCACATCATGATGTCGCCCAGAGCACTTTTTTGGGTTCCATAGCAACCTTATGTACTTGGTTTCTCATTTTGGGGATATTATTTCAAGAGTGTATTTAAGCACTCTTTTGGAGCACTGTTTTGTATACATTTGTGTAACTGCCTGTAGCTGTATTTTAGTGTAGTTATTATAGACTGTGGGTGGTGCACCTTCTTTGCATGCTCTGTTTGCTATATATACACTTCGCTCAATATTGAATCTCCTCTTTTGTTGGCCATCTCTCTCCCACACTACTTTCGACATGCCAAACCCTAGTTCCCTCGTAAGTCACTATCCTAGCTCTTAATATACTCTCGACATGGTTTCAGAGCAGGCTCGTTCCTAGTGGCTACTACAATGGGCCCACCGTTAGCCGTTTCCATGGTGCGCCCAGTCGAGTAGCCTGTCGCGCAACACGAAATGCGCCCCGCTCGTCGCCCCGTCGCGCGCCCAGCTGGCCCCGTTTATCGCACTGTCGTGGCCCTAATCACGACGCTCGTAGCGTCCCCTGGCGCGATCTTTGTCACGCCCGTTGCGCGCACTCGTTTCGCCAGCCCCCGCTGCTCGTCTCGCCCCCCCTCGTCGCGGCCGTACGTGTCTACAGCGACGGTCGCTGTTGGGGGGGGAGGGGGACGAAAAGGGGAAGGGGGTGGCGGCCGTGGGGTGGAAGCGGGAGTGCAGGTGGAGGTGGCGGGCTGTGGGGGGGAGGGTAAGGGAGTGGCGAGAGAGATTCTGCCGCGCCAACAGCCGCCCCTCCTCCTCTCTCTCTCTCTCACTGCCGCGCGTGCCGCTGTGGGGGGGAGGGTGAGAGGGTGGCGGGAGCGTTCCTATAGCACCAGCAGCTGAGCATTTGCAGTTGCAACAGATTGTCACCGTGGCACCTGTTAGAAAGTGATACAGCGGAATGAGGCTGGATTAGCAAGCAAGGGATACATATGCTAACCCTAAAGTGTTGTACTCACTATAGTCTACCTCATTGTAGCCTATCACAAACATAAACATAGTTTGACACACCCCCATAGGCTAAGTGAAAGAAATCTAGAGAGAGCAAGAACCACAAAGGTTTACAAGACGAGTCAAGAGAAGAAACAAAGCAAAGGTCAGGGTGGATCTCAAGATCACCACACAGTCCGAGCACAAGCAAGCAGCCACAAGGCCAGTTCACATGCAGTGTTTAACTACAGCGGCACAGAAGTCCTGGGCCGACTTCAACTGGCGAAAGTGGGCCTTCTGGTCGGGCGAGAGGTGAGCACGGACTGCAAGTGTAGCAGTGGCGTCGCGTGCCGCCCACTGCGAGCAAGCAAGGCGGCCATCGTGGTACTTCTTCTGCACATCCTCTGCAGCGGTGGCGGCCGACTCTACTGGAGGCTTGGGGGCCTTGAGGGACCTCGACGTGTGCTCAAACAGTGAGGCATCGTCCTTGGTAACACTCTGCAGGTATAGGTGCAGTTCCTCTAGCCAGGACTCGAACTCAATAGGGCGCCCTTCTGCGTCAAACGTAAGAACAGTGACAGTCGCCATGGTTGAAGCTAGGTCAGGCAGCAGCACTAGGAACTAGCCACAGAGCTAGGTACGGGCGGGGGTTCGGGGTACAGCACGGCAGGAGGTGAGCGGCTCGGCAGCAGGCAGAGCGGCAGCGTGACGCGGTGTGGCAGTAGGGAGGGCAGCGCGGGGTGGCGGTAGGGAGGGCGGCGCGGGGTGGCGGTAGGTAGGGCGGTGTGGCGCGGCGCGGCTCGGCAGGGCGGCACGGCACGGCAGGGCGGCGCAGTGCGGCGCGGCAGGGCGGCGCGGTGCGGCAGGAGGCAGGGCAATGCGGTGGCAGGCAGCGCGGCTGCAGGTGGTGCGGTAGTGGGCGGCCAGCGGACTGCAGCGGGCCGGTAGCGAGCGGCAGCGCGGGGCAGCGCACGGGCGGCAGGGGGGGGGGGGGGCAGCAGCGGGCTGCTGGCGGCAGCGGGCGGTGCGCGAGCTGCAGTGCAGGCGGCGGCGCGGGCAGCGGTGGGACAGCGCAGGCTGCAGTGCGGGCGGCAGCGCTGCAGCGCAGCGGGGGCAGCGTGGCGGGGTAGCGCGGGCGGCGGCGCGGGCGGTAGCGCGGACGGTAGCGCGGGCGGTAGCGCGGCAGCGCTCGGGGCAGTGCGGGGCAGCACGCGCAGGGCAGCGCACGTGGGGCAGCGCGGGGCAGTGCGCGTGGGGCAGTGCGGGGCAGCGCGGGGCAGTGCAGGGCAGCGCGCGCGGGGCAGCGCGGGGCAGCGCGGCAGCGCAGGGCAGCGCGAGCGGAACAGCGCGCGCGTGGGGTAGCGCGGATAGGAGCGGCAGCAGCGGCGCGGCGGTAGGCCAGCGGGCAGTCGGTCAGTGGCGCGCGTGAAGGCACCAGCATGTAGGGCAGTAGGGCAGTGGCGTGCGCTAAGGCAGCAGCACGTAGTGCAGTAGGGCAGGCGGAACGAACCTACTCGATAATACCATGCTAGAAAGTGACACAGCGGAATGAGGTTGGATTAGCAAACAAGTGACATATGCTAACTCTAAAGTGTTGTACTCAGTACAGTCTACCTTACTGTAGCCTATCACAAACATAAACATACTTTGACAGCACCTCCTCCTGCTGCACCTCCCGCCACTTGCACCTTCCGCTGCCGCATGCTGCTGGGGCCTGCAGGTGCTGCCGTCGAGCCGCTGCTGTCGTGCTGCTCGTTGCAGCCACAGAGCTTGCTCCTCAGGCGACCTGCTGCCGCCTGCACCAGCTACTGCTACATTTGCCGTGGTTGAGCATTTGTTGCAGCTCATACTGCCACAGCTGTACCTGCTGCCACTGATCCTACCTGCTTCTGCTGCTTTCTCTGTCCGTGGTGTACCCCTCCAGGAGGTCTTGCTGCACAAACTCCTCTTGCAGGCAGTTATGGGGGAGTGTTACAAAGCATATTTTGTATACAGCCTGTAGCTGTAGTTTTACTGTGGTTATTATAAACTGTTGGTGGTTCACCTTCTTTGCATGCTCTGTTTGCTATACGTACTCCTCGCTCAATATCGCATCTCCTCTTTTGTTGGCCATCTCTCTCCCACGCTACTCTCGACATGCCAAACCCTAGTTCCCTCGTAAGTCACTATCCTAGCTCTTAATCCACTCTCGACAAGCACCCCTTAAAACGTTTTGAGACTCTGTTCAAACAGATAGTGAACAAAAATCACTTTGTGAGATATCCACAAATGGCAAACCAAATACGCTGTTAAAACCATGAGTTTGTTCGACTTGTCCCAGCATCATCGATTAATACGGCGGATGGTACGGTTGAGCATCATATCTTGGTGGCATCAACATGAACAAATTAAATATGGAGTCCCAAGTCTCCCCAAATTGCCTCAACCTTCCTAACTTTGGTTGGGGGCAGGGCCCTTGTTATAAGACCAATTTAATGTGATGGTCTGTCTTTCGGACCTACTTTTTTGTATTCATCTGATTATTAAGACATCGTTTTCTAGCCCATCTGATCAATAAGACAAAAGGTTATAGTTCATCTATTTCCCAGACCACTCACTATAGTTAATCTGAATTTTCAGATAGCGAGTTCGGATTCGTCTGAAACCGACAATTTGAGCCACTAGGCCATAGGACCACAGTTGCGGCTCTCTGCTGCTCCGTACCTGCATGCGCATTGAATTTCCGTGTCTCGTAGCATCCTCGCTGTCATGATTCTCAGTCATATGCGGCCAGGGGTTTGCCGTCTGGCTGGTTGTCGGCGCCGATGCCAGCCTTTACACAGCAAGGCGTTGTCATGTTGTGCCAACGCATTCCTTGCCTGGACGTGACGCTACTGTGGATTAAGGTACCCAACTCACATCCCGCAGCGCACATCATTTCACGTGGGACGGGGCAAAGGTTTCATGCACCAGGGTAGAGTATCAAACCAGCCTACTTCATCCTTTTCTGGATCGACTCTCTCACCCAGCCGAGCGTGAACGCACTCCTGTCACACCAGTTTGTTTCTTAATGTAAAGTTTATGGCCATCCCCACCTCCGTACGGCTCGCCTCCGATGGCGATGGTACAGCACCATCGTTGCCTGGCGTTGATGCACATAGGGTTTCAGCGCTAGATTTCCTAACGCGGGGTAAACATATTGGTTATGTTGCCCCACCCGTTGCTTCGTCCTCTGCTCCGGTTCCTCCGGCCGTAACCGCAGCGCCTATCTCAGTAAATGGCGACCATTCCTCGCCATCCACCGCTACCCCTACCACGCCAGTGTCTACTTGTATGCTCAACACCGTTGGCGATAAGAACCTCCCTACAGCATCTGTCGCTACCACCTCCACACTCCGAGCTAACCCTGTCTTGCCCGACAAGTCATCAAAGAAGACCGATTACAAGTAGCGGAAGCTCAACTTTGCTCGTCCTGGCGGTCCTACGGAGCCAGCGCTGTCGGAGTACAAGCGACCACTTGCACAGGGACCCGCGGATGAAGATGTTGAGGACCATGTCGGCATGCCCTTGTCACTCGAGGAGCTGCAGCTGAAGTGTAAGGAGCAGTTGCATCGACATTTCCCGTGGCTCCTCATCTCCGAAACGAAGGACGGCCGACCCTCCATGTGCTGCAGCATCTGCATGGTCTTCGGGGACCCCCACTACAAGTACGGGCGCTACGGCGATGGCGGCATCGGCATACAGAAGCAGACGATGTGCAAGCATCACCACAGCTTGAAGCAGGAGGTGGCGGTGTTGAGGACGGAACAACATGACGGCGCGAAAAAAGGGCAGAAGTCGATTGCGGACCTCAACAAGGGGGATGAGGATATCAAGCGTGTTGTTCGTTTGATGTATATTGTGCTATTTATTTGCAAATTTGACGCACCCATTGTGCTGTTCGTGTCCTTGGTACAACTAATGGCTGAGCAGGGGACGTACTACATCGAGTAAGTGTCCC